CTCCCTGGGATTTGGTGCTTCCTATAATGGAACGCCCCTTCAAGAATGTAGATACCTGCGTTGACTGGGAACTAGGTAAACCTGTACTTCCTTTATTAGCAATGTTGGTGCTTAAACTTCTAAGGTATGCAACATTGCTACCTATGGTATTCCGATTGTGACATACTCATTCTTGTGTTGACGCAGCCTAGGGATTTAGATTTTTTTCCCTCAATAAATCCCTGGTTGTACATCTACTGCCTTAATGTGTCACTTTAAGTGCTTCCAAACGCCCTTGAAAGAAGTCAAAGAAACAAATAGAGTTATTAACCGATTGTCATCTTTTCTTTATTTTCATGTTAGTGCTAAAAATGAAGAGTAAGAAAATGGGACACAAATGGGCCATTAAAATGAGTTTTTGTAGAAAAAAAATGAGAAAACTCACCTTAGAAAACTGTTCATGAGGTTTTGCCAACAAAGCTCTCTTCTGTTTTTCTGATGATCCAAAGTCGTGACAAAAATTCTTTTAAGGTAAGGCACTAGAATCTATTTTGGAAAGCAGAATGCTATTTCCAGGAGCGAGGGAATGGAAACATTAATAAAGGGCAAAGCATTCAAAGTCTCTATTGGGCCTGGGTGATAGTGGCTAGTAGCTTACTTCTTAAGTGGAAAGGCATAAGCTGGACTTCAAAATTATTGCAAACACTGCTTTGATGCAAACAGGTTGTAAACCTAGTGTACCCTCTCTGAAAATGCAAATCATCAGATTTTTTTTTTTACGTCAAAGAATGCAATTTAAATCCACATTCACTCCTGGAAAACAAAAATTCAAAGACCATGCTTTATATACACTAAAGAAAAAACTGTCATTCTATTTACCAAACATTTATTAAGCACAGCTATGGGCCTAAACTGTACTAACGTCAACAACTGCGATGTACTGAGTGCTTGCTACATGTTGAATAAAGTTTGTTGATGGCCTCTCATTTAATTCTTACAAAACAATCCTATGAAACAAGAACTATGATTCCTCCTTGCTATACACACAGGGAAACTTGGGGCTGGTGACAATGAGCAACTTGCCTTGATTATGCTGATACCTGAACCCAGGTAGTCTGAGCTCTTAATTACTTTGCTAAATTCCCTCCTATGTCCTAGGTGCTGAGGGTAAGAAGATAAATATGGTATGTGTTCTACCCTCAAAGAGTTCATTTTCACACACAAAGGGTAGCACTATTCAGAAATATTAAAGTATATAATTAAGTTGCTTTAAGACCTAGTGATTTAAAAATTTGATAAACATAAATTATATTCAGCATGAAAAAAGAGAAAAAATATCACCATATGTTGACATGGTAACTCAAAAGAATTATCCTGCCTCCCCCCCCATCCCCCACTTTTGGAGCCTATAACTGACAATTTAACTAACACCTATCTTTTTAAGCTTGTCTTAACTAGATAAAATGTGATTCCCTCTTTGGATAAATCAAATCTGTATATATTTGATATTAGCCTGAATATTTTCTGTGGCAATAATGAGAGAATATAATCCTAGGCCCACGCAGTACAACTAATTCATACATTATATATACGTATATATGTAAATCCAAATAATGGTGTAAATTCAAATAGTGTGCTAGGATTTGGAAAGCAATCTAATTACTTCTATGGAAGGCCTATTAAATTCTAAAGAGCTCAAAATATTTAATACTTGAAAACTGGAACTGGATTTAGCCTTACATCTGAAGCACAGAATACTCATCTACCTGGCAGGCAGCAGGTATTCCTTTTCAGGTTCCCCAGACTATAAGCTCCCCAAAGGAAGCCCCGACCTATCTTGTTGGCCTCTACATCTCCAGGACCTAGCACAGGGCTTGATCTATAACACTGTCAGAAGACTTTGGCAAAACATTTAGACAAACAGCAAAACCACAAAATCAAAGGGTCTCAGTACTGGAGCCCTAGGGTTTCAATGGTCCAGCCAAGCAAGAGACAAGCAAACAAACAAGTGAACAAAAAGAGTGATTAAGTAGTCTCTGTCTGAAACAGCACTGTCCATCTTATATGCTGAGTCTTCTGCATGATACTACATTCAAAAAGGCACTGGAAGTGCATTTTCCGGGTTAATGCATTGAAACTTCAGTACTTAGTCATATAGCTAGGGTTAGCTACATGTCCTTTTAACACCCAAATAGGACCCTTTCGGCATCATAAGGCAATTTCCCTTTACCTGAATTTAAAGAACTATAATTCTACAACCTGAGCCTAATGTAAGAATAGATATAGTGTAATTCTTCTGAATTTGAACACAGGCAAAAGATTTGCTAGAACAAGCTTGACTGGCAGCCACCCATCAATAGTAAGGAAATATATAAAAAAGAGACTTCTGTTTACTATAGCATCCTGAAAAAGACTTTTTGCCTAATTTATAAAGCCATATTTATTATAAGAAAAATAAACAATGAATGAAAAACAAACTTCGGTATCATGGCTGCATTCAATTATTCCTGAGGACAGGGTCTGGGGTTACCCTGGATACTTCAGAGATAATCTGAAAACCTTCTGTTGGCCATTACTCCCAGCCTCCTTCCCACCGAGCCTTCACCAGAGCTGACCTCCTGTTCCTGCCCTTGCCCCCCATCTGGTGGAGGCGCTAATGAGCAGTGAAATGGCCAAAGGGCAGGCAGCAGGGGGGAGCAGAGAAAACAGAGCAAAGAAGGGGACAAGAGGCTGGATCATGACAAACTCAATAATCAGTCCCTGGATGATAGAGCTGGCTGTAGCAATAAAGACTTTTGTGTTTTACAACCCTAAATGCTTGACAGCCATTAGTTATGGACAGAATGTTCCTGTCAAGTACTTAAACATGAGAAAAAGCATGGGTAAATTAAGCAACCTGCCCAAAGGTATTCAGTTCCTCAAAACGCAGAGGTCCTTATTTCAATCTGGAGTAGAGGTCATAGGCTTGGTTTAACCCCATCGCATTGAAATTTTTTCAAAAATGTTTAAATACTTGTGTCAAGTATTAAAGAGTTTAGAATCAAGAATTTCTTGATTTAAAAAAAGAATCTTAAAAACAGACTCCACCCTTAAAAACAGAACAAAAATGTTCTCTTGGAATATGGAGTAATAGTTTTACCTGTTCGCCTAATACAAAGTGTGGCATATTAATTTTATTTATATACACCATGAGAGTTTCCAATCTTTTAGAAACATTTACTACTTAAAATCAATACTTAAAGTTGGGTAAGTATAGGTAAATATGTGTATGGGAGTAGGGATAGTACACTGTGTAAAAAAAGTCTCACATTTATTGTCATACGAAATGGTTACTGAATTCCATAATATCTGCCATTTTATTATAGTGAAATTGAGATAATGGTCTTGGTCAGGACTTTATTAATCTGATGATATCTCAAGGAGAAACAGGACATTTATATGAGCTACTGCCAGTCTAGAATAAAAACATGTTCTTCCCTGATTATAGCTGAATAAGATCACAAGGCTATTGCGGCATTGCAACAGGGCCCCTTGAGCTTCAGACCCTGTGGTCAATGTCTTCACAGTCCTGAATGGTTAGGGTCTGGTAGAGGTGGCCATGCCAAACAGAACTGGATGACCAAGCTGGGCAGATTATCAATCTCCTTTTTAATGACCTCATTTAACAGTATAATTAGGAATAACATTTAGATATTAAAACAAACAACAAAGAAATTAATGTTGAATCAAAACATTAAGGATCAAATCCAATTCTTGCCTTTTGGGTATGACTTATTAACATTTTCATATTTAATCTTGCAATTTTAATGATCATTTTAGTGAATTTTATAGTAAGCTATTAAAACAAAATAAACTCAAGCCACTTTCCCTATAGGGAAAAGGATTTGGAAAGTATTCCATTTTAATCATCAGCTATTGCAAAGGAGGAGATAGTTTCAGAAGATTATTACTTACCCATTTGTTGTATGTATCAGAAAATTTATTATTTAATTACTGAGCATATATCAAAACTCCATGTGCTTTCAAGAGAGCATCTCCTGTTTTTCAAAACATGTTATTATATCAAGTTTCTATGCGACAATGGTTATACCTTCATACGCTCCATTAGCAGACAGTTCTGGATGTTATATTGAAGTCATTTCTTCTCCTCTGACTCCAGTACAAAACTGTAATTATCTGCAATATGCATCATTGGATATTCCATTCTAAGCAATGAACTTACATTTTAATTTAAACAAGGCAAGTGTTAAATTACAAATGGCTAAGTTTTTTTAAAAAAGTAGCAAACATCTGGAGGGAAAAAGTAATGGAAATGAAAATCTAACGCTTTAACTTCAAAATTAAGTTTTCAGGTTTTTCAATACATTAATACTTGGGATATTTAGGAAAAAACCAAAGAGCTTCAGTCAGTCTGGTTGTAGCAGATTTTATTCTGATTTAGTTCCTCCTCCTCAATCCTCAAATCATCACTTAAGCTTCTAGATTTCTACAGACTAGGAAAAACAAAAAGTCCTTGTTGCCTATCTAGAATCGTCACATGTTTGACTAACAAATGAAATTACATCACTTTCCTGTGTATCACAAGCTCTTCAATAAGAAGGACAACTGCCCCCTCAAAAGAGATGGAATGGAAATGCATATTTTTAAATCGACGTACTGCACACACCCCATTACCAAATAAAGAAAATCAGCAGCCTGAGAAACCAGCTGGGGATTGTTTAGTAACTTTCTAGTGACCAACTGAAGTTAAGTTTCAGCATCTGCTCCTTGGGTCAATTTCTAGGTCAATTTCAGTATCTCCAGAATGATTTTTTTTTTCCCTTTAAAAACCATTAATTCATAGTGGGGAACATTTTCTTTCTGTTGTTAATTTCCTTTCTCATAAAAATTTAAACAAAACATTTAAAAGCATCGCTTGTTCCCACTGTTTTATTCTTTACTATTTGGTTCTTGCTTCTTTTCCTCCAGAAGCATTAGCTCTTTCACTAAGCAACATCTGGATGGTGCATTTCATACGTGATGTTAACAACTTTAATTATTTCATTGTATTCTTAAGCCTTAGCTCCACTCTCTAAAACTCTTTCCAAAAATTTTCCATCACTAAACTATATGATGAGCTCTTTTCCTAGGCAAAAATTGAAAAATGCAAATATTAAATGCCTAATTTCAATTAGCAGGACTGGCTAATGGAATTCAGAGAACCAGCACATCTCTCCATGTGCACACTGAGGCAAACAGCAGAAATGCTGCTTTTCAAATTGATGAACACCACATGACACCAAACCTCTATATTAGAAGGCAGGCTTATAAGCTGCAATGTAAAATTTCCCCCTTAACCGCAAATAGAACTGAAATGTGCTTTAATATTATTTATACACAATTCTTAAACTTGATAATACTCTACTTTATAACAGCCTATATCAAAGACATAATGATACCACCAGGGGTACTTGGTTAGTTTGACATATAACTCTGTCACTTCATTCCATGTGTAACTACTGGTGGCTTTAAGTAATTAGGGTTGAGGCTATGTATAGCTAATAACAGCATGAGAGTATTCAGAGAAATTAACCATAATTTCTAATGTTTATTGAGCACTTACTATGTGCCATGCCCTTTATTAAACATTTTGCATGCATTATCTCATTTAATCCTCACGACTCTTTGAGAAATGTACTTTTACAGATAAGGAAACTGGACCTTTAGAAGGTCATGTAATTTGCTTAAGATTCCACAGTTAATCAAGCAGTAGCCCAGAATCTGAACCCAAGCCATCTGAATCCAGTTCCTGAGCTCCTAGCTTCTTAAAAAAACAGAAGAAAAATAAGGCTCCATTTCTCTCTCCTTTCTTTACTTCTCACCTCTTCTACACACACAAACGCACAGTGAAAATCCGACTCTTTCATCAAAATAATAGATCTGAAATCTAATTCAAATGAGAAAAAAAAAAGACAAATGGAAACAAACAGTAGAAATGTTCTTAACCAAATCTAGTAAACATGCGCACTGGACCACTGGCTTAGCCAATGCTCCATTCCCCCAAAGCAAGACTGCTGAAAGTTTCTCTCCTACACCTACATGCTTTTGGTTAATCAACTTTTGATTAACCTAGCAAGTACTGATCCCAATTACATCAGATAAAAGGGTGACACTGTAGATATTTTTTCCCAGGCCTGTTACACAAATCCATAAGATTTATAGAACATACTTTTAAAAGCAAAAGAACTTTAAAACAAAACAATCCACAAGAATAAAAGGGTAACAGTTTGGCTTCTAAGCCATATACCTAGGAAATCCAGTCAGTTCAAAAATATATCTCTAACTCAAGGAAATCAGTGAATGACAGTGTTGGAAAGAACTGAACTTACTATGAAGTACAAGCCCATTTCCTATGGAAAATGCAATGATTTATTTCTTCAGTACGAGCTTTCCAGCGAAGAATGCTATTGAGCAGAATGCCTTGCTGTGTCTGGCTGCACACTCTACCCAACAGAAGATATACAAGCAAAGAGGAAACACGCTGTCTAGAAAAAATATACAATTTCCTTTTATTTCCTCTTCTAAGTAGAACAACTCTTCTTTGGGGACCAAATCAGGGACCATTGTAACAATTCACCACACAGTATTTTCCATTCTCACAGCCAGTAAAAATTAGAAACCATGAGAGTCAAAGAGAATGGTCCAGTTCTTCCCAGAAAGGCAAGGGTTCCTGCGGTGGATGCCCCACATGGGTTTCTTACCCAGCACGAAGATGAGATGCCTGAAATCCAGTTCCCCCCAAATTAGCAAGGACTCATTAAGGAAAAAACATAACAGATCCTTTCATTGTGCTATATTTTATTCCAGGCTGGCTAAAACATCAGCTATGTGAAGAAGAGTGGCAGGGGGTGAAAGTCATAAAGATAGGTGGGTGTAAAATGGGCAACTTCCCAGGACTAGGGCAGGGCGTAATTAATTTGCTAGACAGCTGTGAAGCCACAGAAAGGTTGTGAGAGGCGCAGTGACGTGACTATAACTGAGGGAAGTGAGTTGGTGAACGTTATAGGATAGCCCAAAGGTAGAAGAGATGAAAGGCAGAGAGACAGGAGAACCCGCTTGACGAAGGTTATTTTGCTGGTTAGCTGTCATTGTATTTGCTTACGATTTATTTTATTTCATTTTAGTCACATTAATCCCATGACTTCAAAGAAGCTCATCTATTTTCTATTATGTTGCTGATTAGAAAGACTATATATGTCTTTCTTACTGATTCGTTCAATGGGATGGGATGTCCTTTCTGAGTTCTGATGCTTAGAAAACAGAAGACCTACCTTTGATAGGTATGCCAGTACCAATTTAGTGAACAGTGTGGTCACTAGAGTATAATAAAAGTAGCACTTTTTGACTTCTGGAGACTAAGTCAAGAAAGACTTTCAGTTACCAGAATGCTCTGCCTGGGAGCCATGAGTGCATGTAAGAAGGCTGACTGCCCTGAATGTGCCAAGCCGTGAGGCCATGTGTGAGTGGTCCAGAGGACACTCCCAGATCCGCCTGCACCTCCGGCCAATCCTGTCAAAGCACCAGATCTGTAAGTGAAGAAGCTTCCCGATTTTAGACTCCAAGTATCAGGGTTATCCCTCGATGCCTGAGTTCTCCCAGCTGAGGCTCCAGACATCCTGGGGTAGAGACAGGCCTTTCTGCTCTGTCCTATCCACGTTATTGACCCAAAAAATCCACGAGCATAATAAAATAGTTGTTTTTTTGCACTATTGAGTTTTTGAAGTGGTTGATTAAGCAGGAATAAATAATTGGAACCATATGTACAATAAGGGATGTGATAAACCCACCGGTTCTGGAACCCACACCTGGAATCCAATACTTAGTTCTGGGTGACATATTTCAAAAGATTAAAAAACAAACATGCTCAGAAAAGAATAACAAGAATGTTCCTTTATGGGAAAGAAAATGAAACGATTGAAGATATCCAAACCAGAAAAGAGAACAAAGAGTATGTGTTAATCGTCCTCAAATATTTGAATGGCCATCATTAGTGAAAGTGAAAAGAACTACTCTGTACATTCCCGGGAGGGAGGCCTAGAGACAGTGGGTAGAACTTACAGGGAGTCAGACGGAAGAATTTTCTGATGTTCAGAGCTTTCCAGGAAGGAAGATACAGTCTTAATAGGTAGTGAGTTCCCTAACATTATAGGTAATCAAGCACAGGCTAGAGGATCATCACCTGGTGGGTACATTTGTAGAGAATTCATTTTTTGAACAGAAGGCTGAGTGAAATACCATTACTTCAGGCTTATACTGTAACACTGAGATGTTTTTAATCTAAAGATCACCCCATTTCTTCATGCTAAGAAATTTAATCCCAATATATGTTGAACTGAGGAAAAATACAAGATGAATAAATTAAATGAAAGGCAATACCAAAGTATAAATAGAAAGTGATACAGAATTCTAGAGCAGAAAGGAATAACAAACTAACAGGAAAATGTAATTCAGCATAGCAAGAAAGAAACTTTAAAAAAAAAATAAGCACGAAGAATAAACTAGGGAAGAGGGAAAAGGAAAACCAAAGAACCGGTCATAAACAATAGTGGGTATAGAGGATGCCTTTGCCTTTCTTGAGAAATGGTTTTATTCATTTTTAAAATTTTTCTCCTCTGTCAGTGGGGAAGACCAGAAGAGTGTGGGTAATGTGGGGATCAAGGGAACAGGTTCAAGTGGTAAAATTAGTGAAGTTTTGCAGTGATCATTGAATTTTTGGCCTCAAAAGATACAGGATCTGTGTGCCCATGGGTCCAAGTGCACTCTTGTGGATGAAACTGTCTCTAATGTCAGTACATAGAGAATGATTTCTAAGGGAAGCAAGAAAAACTGGAAATTAAACCCTTGCTTCCTAACAAAGCCAATACAAAAAGAAAACACAAGCCACCTAGAAAATGAAATGTGTCTCATACACATCTCATCTGAATTTTATCACCATTTGTAATCAATTTCCAAGGTTTCATAATACCCTTTAACTTTAGTTATTCAACCTACTTAACAAGTCATCTCATTGTTACCCCATCTGAAGGAAGAGTGGAGACTCTTTTGATATTGATAAGAGAACGAAAAAGGAGTCACCTTCAGGAAAGGAAAGTGTTCTGAGTAAACACCTGGAGCCTAATGGTAAGAAGTGGTGATACTTTTGTCACTTGCCTTAACCCTTTCAAACGATTCATCAAATCAGAAGACAGAAATTCATATAATTAATGAAATACAACTTTCTCATTAAAAAAAAACAATTTTTCTTTACAAAGAACAGAACTAAATTATATATTACTACTCACCCATTTCCTAGGTCTGCCTCTTGGCCGTTTTTCTCCAGTGGCTTCTGCTTTCTGCAACATGAAAAAGGAAGTCATTATGGTTTCCTACCTGACATTATTTATAAGTACTGCCCTGAGGAACACACTTCAAGTAAGAATGTTCTGGTTTGCAGATGAGGTATCTAGATTATTTTAACAATCTCTTTCTCCTCTAAGGTTCATCTTCTCCTGCATTTTTGAATGGATTCTTCTTCCCTGTTTTTTTCCCCCCACGGCATGATGTAAAGAGCTGTCTATGTAGCCCCTCTCCCTAAAAGACTCCCCTGGAGTGATCTCTTCTGAAATGCATGAAAATGCTTTTTAAAAAGCTATTTTGCTTTTATTTCTGTCCATGATAAAAAAAAATTATCCCCATTCTATAATTACACGAATTAGTATTTTAGAAAATTAATGCTTTTTAAATGATCAAGGTTTTCTTTCCATTTCACAACTCCAGCTACAAAAATTAATGTTGATATATTGCTTCTCAGTTTACAAAGCACTTCTAACCTACACTGGCAGCCAAAAGCAAATCGAAATGTAAAAGGGAATACATAAGCATTCTAATTCAAAATAAAAAAACATTTGCACACTTTTACTTGATCAATTTCCTGTTTCTTGCCTAAAACAATCACCTGTCAATCAGTTCACCTAAAGCAGAGAGGGGAAAAAAAGCTGGCAGAAATCAACGCTGGTCCCCAGAGATGGAAACTATAAGTGCCTAAAATTAATAATTAATTTAAAATGTACATTATTAACGACAATTCCACGCTCAACACAGACCTGCCATGAATATATTTCTAATTATCTTGAGAGTTTGTTTTATTGCTTTACTTCACAGAAGATTTTTCTGGCATCACAGTTGTTTTTCCCTTTTGAATTAAATTTTAATAGTATCTATAAAGTAACTAGCTTTCCCATGTTTGTCACCCCTACTCCAATCCCTAAACACAACAAAAACACACATGAACACTCACACACCCTCATATATACCTTCTATGAAAACGTGTTTATACTTTTCAGGATAAAGAAAACTTAGTATATATTGTACCATGTATGAGAATTTTCCCAAGGCTATAGCAACACAAAACTGTAGGTAACCTGAGCCAGGACAACTTGTTTTGCCTCTTACTTTTGTTATCTGGGTTAATAGCCAGTGGGTACTTGGTACAGGGATACTAAAATGACATGCAATAACTGTCTACACTGCCAAATGAAACCTTCCTCTTTCTCTCTTCAATCTGCTTAGCAAAAAATAGGTGGATATAGATGACAGTTAATAGACAGGTAGATAATAGATAAAATAAGTCACAAGATTTCTCACCAAATAGTATCTCCCTGATCTGGCGTTACTATGTAACGGGTCCCATGAGTTAACCCAAACTCTGTATGATTGTAATGTTAGGTCACATTTTTTGAGCATTATACCCCAGGCACTGGGCTGAGTGAGTCATGTGTTACTTTAACCCTCACAGCAACCTTATAAAGTGGGTACTATTATAATATTTCTGTTATTTTGCAGATGAGCAACTAAGTCTTAGATTATATATATAAAACTTGCTCAAAGTCATACACAAAACAGGTTAAGTGGTAAACTTGGGATTTGAACTCAGCTTTACTTGACTCTAATGACTGTGCTCCTACCCTCTTAACAATGTTAACATCTCTTAGTACACAAGCATTTGCTACCATAGAAAATATTTTAGGAAGTAAAACTGTCACCAATTCAGCTAATTTTCCAGAACAAAAGAAAACCTGGTAGTCTTTAGGAGCTCTATGGAACCATCAGATTAGGGCACTTTGAATTGTTATTACTTTTGAATAGCTCCACAAAGGAATCATTTATTGTCAGGGGTTAGTGACATTGTCTTCTTTCAGTCATATGAGCATGAATTAAGCGAGTGCCCAGTAAATCACACCGTCTTTCGGAGTGTTGCTTCACGGAGAGAAGGAGGTGTCCTGAGAGGATCACAGACTCTACTTTGGAAAGCTTAGATTTAAATTTCTACTCTGCCATTTTAGCTTTATAACTTTGGGCAGGTCCCTGAAAACCTTAATCTGGTTTCATCTGTAAAATGGAGATAACGCCTCCTGGAGGAGTCATCGAGGTACCTGGAAGTGCCTGCCATAGATATTCTTTCACTCCTAACAAGACGGAACCCTTAAAGAGAAAGTTTTCCTTGAAGTTAGTTTCATATCTCACAGAAGGTTCAGAAAATGCAAATTTCCATTACATCCACCACCTGCAGAATGAAGCTTTCAAGAAACCCTCTGGATAGTGCCTAGTGAAGTGTATGAGTACAAAATTCTCTAGTACAGAAGCAGCATTTTATTTAATCTTTGGGAGCAATTGTAAAATTGCAATCTACCCAGTAGTAAATTACACAAACGTGGAAGATAGAAATCCTTTTTAATGGGAATGGGGGTGGTAGGTGGGGTTGAGGGGAGGAAATTATTGATCTGAAAGGCTAATGGTGCTGCACCAGGCTTTTTCTGTGCGGTTGTTATGTTTCAGGGGCCATGACGTGATCCGGGTGTATCTAAAATCTACTGAAGAGAGGGGTATTTTTCCTAAAAGGGTTTCATTCCATTTCAAAGTCAGAGAAAGCGAATCTCTCAAAGAGAGAGAAAGCCTTGCAAATAAGATGACTTTTAAATGAGCATCTCATTTACAAAAAGCCTATTGAGAAATAAAATTCGCACCACTAACCAAAGGGCAAAATATCACGATTATCACTCGGACTTGTTAAAAGCAAACTTGCTCCTTGGTCGTTCAGGCCAGTGCTACATGTAAACTGAAACCCTCTTCTGAGACTACATCTAGAAGAAACACATTAGTTGTGCTGTGTGGCGACGATCTGGGAGGTTTTCATTGTTCTTTAAAACCCACATTATTTAATCATTCTAATCAAACTTCACAAAGGCTGCAAAACAAGTTAGGATTTTAGTTTGTAAACCAGCACAGATGCAGGATTTTTACATATTGGAAAACACTGGCTTGAACATTGTTTTCCTGTATTTAATGCTCTTCAGAATATTATTTTTCAAAGACAAAACTTTCAGGGGGCTTGTTTTGTTTTAATGTATCAACAAATGCAATACAGTAGAAGTGTATAGTTGGTTTTCCTTTGCCAGAACAGAATTTGGTTCTATACTACAAACCTATGTATAATGGAGACATAACTAGGTCTAAGTATTTATTGCTTATATAGCTGGAGAAAAGGAAACAGTAGGAATTCTGCATGTGTAAGAACTAATATTTCAGAATATTACCAGCACTATTATGCTAATAGTCACAACCATCATACCATATTGTTAAAAGTACTATTTCTTCCTTGATTGTCCCTATTCATATTTTTTAATTTTTTTTTTAAAGTTTAGATTCATAACTGTAAACTTAATTTTCAATATGTTTAGAAGCAAGTTCAAGAGGGTTGGGAGGAATGTTAAATGGGAAATGGAATCATCTCTTCCTCTAAGAAGTTCTGGTACTCCAAGCTCTTAAATGTACTCCACATTAAAAAAATTAAGAAAGAAGTCGTCTAGCAAATATATTTCTTAGTTTGATGACAGTGCTTAGTGCCTGATGTACAGGAGATATTCACATCATACTTCTGGAAGGGAAGGAGAAAAGGAGGGAGGGAGGAAGGAAGGAATTTATATTTTATGTATGTCTTATTTCCTTCTTACCATCGGCATGCTGGAGCTCAGTGAAACTTCAGAAATCATTTCATCTAGCCTTCTCACTGAACAAATAAGGGAACTTCTTAATGTGATATAATCCCCAAAGGCATAGACCTGTGCTTTATTTGGGGACCAGAAGTCTGTGGGTGTTGGTCACAGAAGGCACACATTTCCAATCCCTTTATAACCTTTGGAGGGCCACTTCAAAGGTTTCTCAAAACCTAACTTCCAACCTGTGTTTCACATACTGGAGATAACAGAAATCTACCTTATAATAAATATCTTATTAAAATATTTGACAGGACAAAGTAGGGAAAGGGTATAAGCTTTGGCATTAAAGTGGAATTCAAATCCAAGTGTGATCATTCACTAGAGCTGAAAATCAGACATATCATAGTTCACGTCTTTCAATCAGTTTTCTCATTTATGGAATGAAGACCACAATGCCTATGTCAGAGGATTAAAGGAGCTAATATATATGTAAGGTGCCTGATAAAAGCTATGGCATTTAGTAGGTAGTCAAATGTAATTCCTTCTCTCTCCCCTTATTTTAAAATGCTACTCTTAAAAAGAACACCTACCAATGCTATAAGTTTCCACAGTGATTTTCCAAGCATTATCTTACTTAAGTAGGGCAGCTATTACTTTCCCTGTTTCACAAATGAGAGATTAAGCAACCTGCCCAAGTTCGTAGGTAGCAGAACTGAGACTCAATCTGATTTCAAGGCACTAAAGGGGCTGTTCTTCGGGGAGCTATTCTCATATAAAATAAAATTGCCATGGGAAATTTTAAAATACAAAAGATAACCTTCTAGGGTGAAAATCAAATTAGTTAAAAGTAAAATATTTCCAAGTTTCCTATAAACACATGGATAAGAGCAGAGTTTGGAAACCACGAGAATAATTCAATTCTGACTTCAGGGACAAATTTAGGTGGCTATTAATTTTTTGCTACTATATTTTATATGTACTGTGATGAATGGTAGATAAAGCCAGAACTCCCCTACTCCAAATCAATCATGCATCTGTACAAAAAACAAGCTAGAAAAATATTTGGGTGTGATGGTCCCTGTTTTGTTTTCATGTATTTTGATTTTTTTTTAGACTTAGACCTGCTGAACCTAATAATCTGTGGAGCCCTATCCAAAGTCTAGAAAATCAAATTTTATTTGTTTTAGTTGCTCTTTTAAAAAGTATAAACAGCATAAATCAATGTGCACTGGCATCAAAATCAACCGGACTAATCAATCGGACTAAGCATTCAGGAAATTCTTGTTTTACATTTTTGATGATCCAGTTCTGTGGGTTCCCCAATGTTAAGTACAAAACTTTTAGTCTTGAAAAGATGT